GCCTCCTCTTCCTCCTTCTGTCTGCCCTCTGCCTCCTCTTCCTCCTTGTGTCTGCCCCCTGCCACCTCTTCCTCTACATCTGTCTGCCTCTCTCAGTAACTCTAATTTACCTCCTCTTCCTACCCCACGCATTCCTTCAGGTTTACCTGTCTCCTCACTTTCTTGCCCTGCTCCTCTTCTGCCTCCTCCTCTGTGGGTATCTTGGCCAGTTTCTTTGCCTAGAAGGCAAAAAATTCAAACCTTGGTTGCTTGAAGCCATTTTCAGACATGAACTCCGAAAAATGTCAGGACGATTGAGTCTGGTCATTCTCCAACTTTCTAACTTTTAAATATTAACAACGAAACATTCACAACAGGAAAATTTCCGAAGCATTCAGGCTCGGGATGGTGTCTGAGTAGAGACATTTTCCTGCAGTATGGCCTCACTCAATACATCTTCAGTACATTTTATCAGAAAATGTCCACAGCAACTGACTGAGACATTTGCATTCTCACAAACAGGCCCTCTGGAAAATTACAGGAAAATGTCTGGAGTTCAGTGCATGTCTGAAAGCAGCAATACTGTATTATTACCATTATCAAGTCCTCTTCTCCTGTTTTTTGAAGTCTGCCTTTCCATGGTCTTGCATGTGGCAGCATGAAGTTTGGGCTGCTCCGTAAGTTTCTGAGAGAAAGAGTAAAAAGTGAAAAACACAGCACATTTGATTAGTGACATAAATATTTATAAACCATAGAATACCAGTGGCTGAAATCTCACTCCTGGTAAGTGGTTAGAATTCATTTATTGTGCACTGTGCTCTATTACCTGTTGGATTTGCAATGTCACAGACGTGTCAGATAATGATGCCAGGTATTTACAGTTTCTGCAGAAATGAAAGCAGCCGTTGGAGAGAACAGTTATTTTGTGGTGACTTCACAAATTAAAAGAAAGTCTACATTTCAACCGGGACTTGAGTGTGACATTTCTGATCCTGGTGCATCTTCTACTGGCCTCGCACTAGACCCTTTTTCACAGCAGCCACTTTGATAGCGCCTCCAATGAATGTGGTTCACAACACCTGTGTTTACCTGTTATTACTTCATGTCAAGATGGCTGCTTCGGATAAAGGACTTCACACAAATGAACATGGAGGGACATTGTACTTTAAATGGTCACAGATGTGTAACAGCTAACGTACATGAAATCAGCTGTTTGGCCATTTAGGCTAACTTTAATGTGGGTTTACAGTTGATGAGCTAATAAGCTACAGTGTGAAGTAGAATTCACCATCAAATAATATTTCCTGATCAACTTTAAATAAAATAAAAAACTGGCCCCGGTTTGAGATGAAACCCACTCGCAGATGTCAAAAATAAACAGTAGTGGCCATGAAGCTGACTGCTAATTTGACTGTCTGAGATAACAGACAGGTTTCCAGTGCTAGAGTGAGTCACGGTTCAGAGACCGTGCTGAAAAACGTCTGAACGATTGAAATGATACGGGTGTGTTCTGGGGCAGGAAATACACCAGAAATTCGGCCATTTTCCTGCAGCTTTTATTTTCAACGACTAGTCTATTCGAGGTGGTGACGAGCTATTCTGTCTATTTAGAAATCCTCTCTCCATCTTTGAAATTGCACATTCACTCGACGAAAGCCAGGATGTCCGAGGTTTTCGCCTGCACTTGAACGCAGCGTGTATTCGTGTGTGTGTGTTCGTGTGTGTGTGTGTGTGTGTGTGTGTGTGTGTGTGTGTGTGTCTATTTAAAGGTGTGGATGAATAGACAGACATGTAGTTTGTTTGCAGAGGATGAGAACAGTTCCCATCAGGTTTGAGCTGTTGAAGTCAAGGTGTGTTGTTTATTATTAGTTTCATTAGTAGAAAATACAAAATGTGTTTGCGTTTGACTATAATTCATCCCCACAGCGAGGCGCCCCCTGCAGGAAACACACAGGAAGTGGTCGTCTAGGTTTCTTTTCAGCAGAAAAGGATGACACCACAAAATGCCTTTTACACGAACCTGATGGAATACCACGACAATAAACACTCACCGAACAAAGGTAATACATGTGCAGTCACTGTTCTTTTCCTCACACTTTATACGACACAAAGATCATATGATAATAAATATAGTCTGTAGTAGTATATACTACTACAGACTATATTTATTATACCAGTCGTATTATCAGTCCTCGTTTCATTTCCCAATCATTTAAGTAGTGAATAATTAATTTAATCCCAATCGTACAAACACACAGTTACTTACCAAGCTTCACATCCACTTGCCATCATCAGTGCAGCAGTACCTTGAGCACCGGAAGCAGACACAGCTCGGAGCTCTGGTTTTATTGATGTTCTGACGGTTTTGTTTTCGTTTCGTCAGAACTAACACACCCCTTCATGAATTTGTTCTTAGTCATGACTGTGGTGCACATCATTCATTCATCGTGTCCTTATTTCTATTGATCTTTTTATACTGCTACCTGTTTTTAATGTGGGTATAGTATGTATAGATATGCTGTATGTTTTTTTAACACTGGTTGAAAAACAGAAACATTAAACCGATATTCATATAAATAAAACATTTTAAAATGCAATTCATATAATGTTCATTATTATATTACATTTGTACTTGTCTTAACTATTACTTATTCTTCATTTGTGTATTGTTATACCCCCTACGGAGCCAGCATGTAAAATTAACAAGAACAGGAAGCCTTTCAAACAGCCCAAACCAAGGGATGTATTAACATGAAACAACACAATACACACAATGTTAAAATCCCAGGCTGAGGCCCAGCAGAACAAGCAGTCTCCAGCTGCCCCCCTACACACACACACACAACACCAACACAGGGGTGGAGTGCAACATCCACAGGAACACACAAGTGACACCCAAAGTGGACAGCAACAACAACAACTTAAAAATGATTCAGGTTTCCAAGACACACCTATGCATCCGAGAAGTGATCCAACAACTACCAGGACACAAAAGGTCACATAAACAAAGGGCATCAGAGACAAAAATACACAAACGCCAAGTGTTACACACCACGATCATGTGGCCCTATGGGCGAACAACACTCACTGACCAGCACTGACATGAATCAACAACAGGAAGCCTTTAAAACACAGACCACAGGATTTATAACATCAAACGATACTATACACACAATGTGTACTTGTATACTCTCTATACATCTTCCCCTGCACAGTCTACTATTTTATATATTACAGTTTATTGTCTATGTTTTTACTTAGTGCCCTTGTACTTTCTACATGGTGGTATTTAGTTGTGGCTATTATTATCATTATTATTATGAGTAGTAGTTGTAGTAGTATATTTCTAGTTGTATCAGTAGTAGTAGTGCTACAATCACTTGTATACTTTGAACATCTTCTCCTGCACAGTCTATAACATGTTATAACATGACTTTAACAATTTGTTTCTGCTGTGATTATATATATATATATATATATATTGAATTAATTGTATATGTTTATACTTAGTGCTCGAGAACTTTCGACATTGTGATATTAAGTTTCGGTTATCCTGCTTCTGCTAGAGGAGCAGCGCCTCCTCCCCCTCCTCCTCCTCCTCTGAGTGATGAGTCAGTCTGAGCCACGGTCTGAACCACGGTGTGAACAGGGAGGACCACTGAGGTGCTGACGCTCCTTCTGGGTCTCGGTGTAAACATGCCGCCGCCTCTTCTCTCTCGCCGTCCTGCCATCGCGTCCTGATCGTCCACAGTTTGTCACATGTCCGCTCGATGGCGGCCGCGTTGAAGGAGATGTTGTTCTCGGCAGCAGGGCGAAGTAACGTTAGCCCGGTGACCAGCTAACGCCGATTAGCTCGCTAACGCGCCGCGTTTGTATGACGCCGGCCTCGCTAATTGAACGGCTAGCTCCCGGTTGGCAGCCGCGGGGAGGATGAGTCGAGGTTCGCCAGAAGTAATGTCATCTAACGAGGACACCCCGAGGAGCGGAGGAATAAAGATGAGGACGTCCAGAAGTGCTGGTCCCTCCACACCAGTGAATGGACGACAAGGTAACGCTCGGTGTCGTGCAGCTAGCTTACCTGTGAGGCTATCGCATGGTTCATAGTGGCTAACAAAGCAGAACGGACAGTCTGCAGGTGGAGCTAAATGTAAACACACATTACTGCTGATGGAGCTAGCTAAGCTAACTATGTCCTCTAAAACGTCCTCAAACGTACCCCCCCTGTACAACAAGAGCTGCAAGCTAAAAGTCAATATGCTAGCTCTTAGCTTGGTAAACAGTGTGTATGTGTGTGTGTGTGTGTGTGTGTCAGATTGGGACAGCAGGCGCAAGAGGAAGACTGCGGACATCACGCAGGCCCTGAACGTGAGTCCAGTGGATGTAGCAGCTCTGAGGAGGATGGCGATCAGTGAAGGAGGACTGCTGACGGATGAGATGCGATGTCAAGTGTGGCCTCGCCTGCTCAACGTGCCCCTGCAAGTCCTGGACCAGGAGCCAGGTGTCATGTTAGCTGCACATGCACACACAGAGTAGTATAGGCCACACGTCTGTATGCTCTCTATGCTATTGCACATTCATTTTCACCGATGCATTATTGTAAAACATGCAGAGCAAAAGCAGGTGCAAGCTTTCCCCACACACTGGACTCATCCAGCAGTTCTAATGTTGACATGTCCTGTGCAGAGACGGTGGAGCGAGAGAACAACAAGGACTACAATCAGGTGCTGCTGGATGTCCAGCGCTCACTGCGGAGGTTCCCACCAGGTGAATACTGGCAAACCACACAGTTTAACTTATGTACATTGTTGTTCAACTATAAATACAGAGTGATATGAACACTCACAGAAGCTGTTGACTTTCAAACCAATGTGTTAAATGTGCTCTACTATCCAAGGATTTAGACTATTATGGAACAGGTGGAAGCAAATTTGCTCAGCTGTGGTTAGTTCCTATTGGGAATTGTAGGTTGTGTTGTTATAATGCAGTTTTTACACTGCGTTAACAGTCATTCCTACAGTGGCAGCGAGAGCTCAGTGCACTGCGAAAACACATGCAAATACAAAAAAAACCATGCAAAACTACTTCTTTAATTTGCAGATACATGCGCAGCAAAAAGTCACAACATATGCAAATACAGAAACACGCTGCAAATAGCGAAAACAACAATGGAATCATTTCCAGGGAACCAAAAAAGTGGTAAACTGTAGTTCAATGCTTTGTGAAGTTCCACCACCACTGACGAGTAGCAGACTTCACAGTTTTGTTGTGTTTGAAAATAAACTGCAGAATTGTTTATTGTTGCTTTTGGAGGGAAAAAACTCAATGCAATGATATACAGTACCATATTTTTTGATAAGAGTTAACTTACAACTCATAAGATTTTGCATCAGTTTTCGTTTCATACCAAAATAATGGAATTGCATCACATATTTATGTAATTTTCCTTCATTTGATCCAGCATGATCGACTGGTTAGTTCATGCTCCTTAAGTAGTCAGATTATCCTCTTTTTGCTTGAGGGGTGTTGTAAGTACCGTGGCATAACTATAACTAAATAAACGTATAAGTGCTTTTTTTAAATTTCATTTTGAATGGACACTACAGGTATGCCAGATGAGCAGAGGGAGGGTCTCCAGGAAGAACTGATTGACATCATCCTCAGAGTCCTGAAACGTAATCCCCAGCTGCACTACTACCAAGGATACCATGACATTGTTGTCACCTTTTTATTGGTCCTGGGAGAGCGCCGTGCGACTGCTCTTGTAGAAAAGCTCTCCACTCATCACCTCAGGTGCTTTTAATGTAAATATATAATTATGTAGCAGCTTTTATTACCTATTGTCTCCGTTCTTCTTCTTTGCTGTGTCCACCTGTCAGGATTTAAATATATCCTTTCCCTCCCTCCATTCCTCTTTCTCAGGGACTTCATGGATCCCACCATGGACAACACAAAACATATTCTCAACTATTTGATGCCCATCATTGAAAGAGTCAACCCAGAGGTGCATGACTTCATGCAACAGTAAGGTTTTCTTCTGTTTTAATTACAACAGGCTAAACCTATTTATTTTCAGTCTTCCATGAGCAGTTATTAAAATTCACCAGAACTTTATGTATGAACTTACTGCAGTTTATCAGACAAGGCGGTTTAAACTAAAACTCAATGTGGAGAGCGTGAAAAGGCTGCACAGCCAACAGAGTGTGGTCTGTGGTTTTGACATTTTGAAATGTTTCCAACAGCGTCTGTTTTCTTGAACGTTGATGTTGCATACTCATCAAAATGACTTCCAACCTACAGTATCGGCCTGATCACTTTACTTTAGTCGAAGCATATACCAGTGGGTTTTACCATAAGAAAGATAGTTCATTGTATTTTTAGCAAGGAAATCAAAAGCATTTATTACATCATAATGGGTTTTCATCAAGGGATTTTAATTAGATATAGTTAAATTGGTTTACAGGCATTTGCTTTGGCTGTGTCCTCTGCCCTTTATGATACACTTAGAGCAATTTTTCTTAAAACAACATGGAAGAAGATATTACAAGGTTCAAGTAAAACCTCAGTGTACTTACATCACGAGATGATTGTGGTGATTAAAGTAAAGGATGACTTCCTACTGGTTGTATTCTGATTGCTCCAGTTAAGTCCAGATCTCATAACATGACTTTAATTCCCCAAAATATGTGTTGATATTGTTCCTGTAGCAGAAGAAATCATCACCTCTCTTTGTGCTGATGTATCCCTGCCATGTTTCCTTAGGGCAGAAGTGGGTACAGTCTTCGCTCTCAGTTGGCTGATCACATGGTTCGGCCACGTCCTGTCGGACTTCCGCCACGTTGTCCGGTTGTACGACTTCTTCTTGGCCTGCCACCCGCTAATGCCCATCTACTTCGCAGCTGTGGTGAGTTCAATGTAATCAGCACTTCATTTACAGTACATGAGGATTCTGCTTAATCGATAGAACACTTAAGAATTACAAGGGCAGTTATATGAGCTTATCGAGGCCAACAGTTGTAATTCTAAGACTCTGCTCGGTTTTGTCACCGTGCAGAGGCCTGTGTAATTATGTACTTTATTAAATTATGACGGTTGTGTAAAGAAAAGTTTGTGTGTACCTAGATTATAACAATGCTGACACCTGTACTGCCCTTAGAAAGGTGATGATGGAAGGTTAATTGATGCCTGATCATTTATTGAGTCAACAAAAACCCTAATGTCAGATATAGTTAATGAAGTGGCCACTGGTTTCGACATTTCATTTTTAGTCCTTTTATCACTGATTTTATTTTTTTTCATCATGGCCCCTTTGACTTGACTGAATGTGTCTGTATGTGTTATTTGCACTTTTGTTGCAGATTGTACTTTACAGAGAAGAGGAGGTGTTGGAGTGTGAATGCGACATGGCCATGGTTCATCATCTGCTGTCTCAGATTCCCCAGGATCTGCCCTATGAGACCCTCATCAGCCGAGCAGGAGACCTCTTCGTCCAGTTTCCTCCCTCTGAATTGGCCAAAGAAGCTGCCTCACATGACTGGTAATTAACTTCCCGTTACAGAACACTACTTGCCTCAGAGGGGGGAATATTTTATTTCTCTGCTTCTGCATTCACACACGTTCTGCTTTTTTAAACTGTAATATTTATATTTAAAGGAGACATATTATGCTTTTTCAGATGTTCACCTTCCTTCACCTTAAAAAGCCTAAAGTCGGTGGTAAAGGGAACTTCTCTCCGCCGCAAACACTGAAGCTCCTGACACACCTTGTCAGTAGCCAGACCAAATATTCTGGTGTATGGTGATGTCATGTGACACCTCATATTATGTCACATGACATCACAATGCCTCCCATTTGCATAATGCTTGCAGTTAGTCTGGTCAGGGAAAGTGAGACCGGAGGGCAACATTTCCTACACATTTGACAAATCACAACAGAGTGGGCCATCTGAGCAGACTGTGCTTTATTGGGAGGGGAACTTAAAGAGACAGGAGCCAAAACCAGTTGTTTCAGACAGAGGCTGAAAAGAGGAGCTGCAGCAATAGACAATTACTTAGAGAAGTGATGTGTTTTCCGAACATAGTTATCAACCTGAGTATGAGCGCAATATGACTCCTTTTATTTTCTTCTACTTCTCAACAATTTCAATTACTCACTATTCTAATATTAACCTTTCATTTTCTCTTTGGTCTCTCCTCTCTACGAATCTTTCTGTTTACCTCCTAAGCATGGCCACCTCTACCTTTAAGGACTTTGATCTTGCGTCCACTCAACAGCGGCCAGACTCAGTTCTCCGTCGCCGACGCAGACAAAAGCAGGCCGCCCTGGAGAGCTCAGCAGCCAGTTCAGTAGTAGCAGTGGCTCAGCCTTCAGCAGCACGGCGCTTTGTCCGACTGGCTGTCATGGGTCTGACGGTGGCTTTAGGGGCAGCAGCCCTTGCTGTGGTCAACACTGCGTTGGAGTGGGCCCCCAAGCTGGACCTGTTTCCTTGAATCGCTCTTCTTTAACCCCTGCACTCCAACGCATCATCCCTCAAGTGACTCTAGTTGGTGCAAACACTGCAGTTGATAACACTGTCTGGAGTGAACGCTCTAAACTGAACCAGTGAACGCTCCTCATTCGTCTTCTAGGATGCTACTTATCCCACTCCACATAGGGCTTCTCAGCTCCCAGCTGAGGTTCCTATGACTCCTGAAGAACATGCAGCAGTTTAGGTTACAGCTGCTATTGTTCTGAAAGGAAGAATCCATCCTGTTCTAATGAAGAGACATTATTTCTAAGGACTATTATTGATGGTGTCGTTATTAAAGCTTATTTATATTTGGTATTAGGATAATCTGATATTGAGTAATCCTCACAGAGATTTATGTTAAAAGCTTGATGGACTCACTACACTTGAAACTGCTGCCAATTAAGAGAGTTTAAGTGTGTGTACATGCGTGTGTGCGTGCGTGTGTGGTCGCAACCTGTTTGTTATCTATTTGATACTTGGACTGAGACCAAATAGAGGCTTGATAGAATCCTCTTTTTGATAATTTAGTGTTTCTTAATTTAGAGATATGTCAGAATATAGAGGTATATGATCATGTCACACAGGCACTTTTTAAGGTCACCATTTTTAATTTAGTTTTCACCCCTGACTACACATTTCAGCTTTAAATAATTGTTGGGTCAAAATATTCTTGTTTTATCAAAGTAAATATTCTGTAGCCTGCTTGAAACTTAATTTTGTATCTCAAAACTTAAAGCAACACTATGCAATGTTTTTATTTTAAAATATACTGCTTCATAAGTAGTTTGACTTACATGGAGAATGGTGCTGCTTTCATTTCCACCCCTCACCCAAACGTCTACTCTTGTTCTATGTAACTTCGGTGCAGGTACGATCTCCTGTGAGAAGTGTGTAACTGACTGATAGTCTCAGTTTAAATCCTCAGCATCAGGCCCAGCTAGATCAAGAGTAATTCTGAACTGTTTATTAGTTTGAAAGATTTCGAAGTCATCAAAAACCAGCATTTATATCTCATATTTAGTGGGGAAACTTTTAAAATATGAAGAATTCCAAACAGAGTTTGGTGTATTTGTAAAAGCAGCAGCAGCTCTTCTGGTTTAGGAAGCCAGGGATCATGGGTAATATCAACTGATGAGTTGGGCTTCAGTTCAGTGAGGGGGGCTACACGGTCATAGCTCTGGTCAACACATTGATAGGGTTTGATTTTTCCTCTGCATGAAATCCAACAGAATGAATCACCATGCGTGGCTGCAGAGGGCGCTGTTGCTCAGTGAAAGTTACATATTGTTGCTTTAAATCTGATGAGTAGGCTCCTGATTGGTGTTCAGCTTTCACAGTCCAGCAAGTAAAAAAACCTCAACCATGAAATGGTTTAATAGAGCTTTCCACTTTTTGTACTTGTTCAGTTGTGCAACCTTAAAGATGTGTCTGTGTTTCATGTGCCCTGTATTTACAGGCGAATATTTTCTGCTCCGCCTATAGTAGGGTAGGTGATGAAATCTGTCGTCATAGTTCAGCAACACACTCACTCAATGCCTGTAAAAATTCAGAGCTGGTTTATTTAGTATTTGGATGGACACAGTGGGCGATCCAGTTTGCACTGATTGCGTTAGTTTCGCAAAATCACTTAAATAAATAATTAGTTTGTTAGGCACTATGCTCCATCCTGCTGAAAGGTGGTCCTGTCAGAAAAAGCTTTTCAATAAATACTGTCCAACATTTCTGTTTCAAACCACGACTGATTTAACAAATAGGATTGTTAAAAGCGTAGAATGGACATGAGAGCTCATTCAAAACCTGGGCATCCCATTCCAATATTATGGTCCAGTAATTTATTGCCTTTTGTTATACCTACTAATAAAAATGAAGGTGAGCTGGAACATGACCAGGGAGGTTCTGAGCAGCCCGAGAGTGTAGCTGTTTAGCAGTATCGTAACACGACATGTATCTGCACTCAGTGGTTTTCATTTATTTTCATTGCACTAAATGATTCATCTGCCTTTTACATTTATTTTGTGATAATTAAATACTGATAAATCATACTAATGTAAAGTTGTACAAGAGAATGCTAATAAACTATAGTGAAAAGTATTTGTTTGGGCAGTTACACATCAATGTGTTGATTTATTTTCACCAAATAAACCGCACAAGTTTTGAAAGTTTTAAATCCTGCAGATGTTTTAAAACAAAAATACTAATAATTTGTGCCTGATATGTTTTATACCGTTTGCTTCTCCTTTTTGATTCAAAAGTTTAATTGACAAACACAAGATAAGTCTTATACTTCACTGGAAAGTCTGTTCGGGTTTCTATGTCACACTGAAGGAGCACAGAAAAGCTTTCCTCCTTCAGCAGGTGAAGGTGAAGACATGATTCTGCACAGTGAGCTTTGTAGCAAAAATCAAAACACGCAACATTTGACAGGAGAGAAACTTTAAGGTATTTTCACACACCAGAGACACAGTATTTCTGAGATCAAGAAGATTCACCCGAACCTTCAAATAGTCCCACATGTAACCTGATTAAGTAAATACAATTACAACTGTTTCCTTGAAGTATTGTGACCATTTTAAGACACTTACATGTATTGCTTCCAAAAGCAATGAAGGTAAATTTGTATGATTATGACAAGAATAAGTATCTACTATATGGAATGTGTTGTTCAGAGTTCATTTCTGATTAATGCTGAGCCCTGCAAAATATCACAAAGACTGATGAAAGTTGTGCAGAGGCTGACAGAGCACGTTGGTTCTTGTCAGGCCTAGAGAGAAAAAACAATGTTCGTATTTGCCTGTTAAAAATGGCTGCTTGCATTTTGCTACATAAACAACAAGATGAACTTCCTCAAAGTTCAAGTTATTGATTTTACCTGATGACATAACTGAAGACAAATGAACCAAGTTTATTTCAGACACGTTTCAAGTAATGGTGAAACCTGCACATTCTGTAGATACCCCACAAAAAGAAAATATATTGTATATATTATACTACATATTATACAACTAATTTAAGGCTTCATTAATGGACAAAGAACTGAAAAACTACATCTTCCTTATTCATCCACCTTTCATGATTTAAACATGATACTTCAAACTCCTTGCACCAGAGCAGCTTGTTAACACATTAGATCACATTACACAACACATTGTAAACACATTTCCAACAATTAAAACAACATCCTTCACCTCAGCCTTATTAGACAACTGAAAGAAAAACCCTTGTTTAAAAACTTCCATTAAAGATAAAACATTCCTCTTGTCACTGGTTTAATTGACTAAATGAATTGTAGAAAAGAAATAATTAATGTAGGAACATTGTTAGATTGTTAAATTAATTGGAGATTAAATTGACCGTAGGCGTGAATGCTAGAGTGAGTGGTTGTTTGTCTCTGTACTTCAGCCCTGCGATGGACTGGCCACCTCTTCAGGGTGTAACTCGCCTCTCGGCCAATGTCAGCTGGCATCAGCTCCAGCTCCCCGCCATGACCCTCAAGAGGAAAAGCAGTATAGATAATGTATTGGTAAATATTGTTAGATGTAGTTAATTAGCTGTAGCCATAGGAAAAGACTCTTACACTTTATATACTGTATGTGAGGGAATATTCATACATTTCTCTGTGCATTATTGGAGTTGAAGCTAGACTTGAGTCAACAAATTATAACGGCTGTGGAAATAAGATAGAAATGTATATGAAGCATTGCTTCCTCACAAGAAGTTATTATTATAGCAGAGAATCCCAGTTTAGCTTGCTTTTGTTCTCACGAGGAAAGTTAATATCCTCAGCTGTAGAGATGCAGAAACAAAAGTTGGCACTTTGCATAACTTCCATACAAAACTTCTATCAGTGGTAGCCACACAAAGATGTGCTTCAGCAGCAGGAAAGCACCTGAGTAAAGTCCAGAAATCAGGTCTAAGAGTCAACGAAACAAATCAAAAGAATATTGGCCTGTATCCTGTGTTAAGCCAAAAGCCTGCACATCAGCTGAGGTCTGCATCTCACACACACACAAAGTATTTGTTCACTTGTGCTCGCCTCAGTGGCAATTATTGCAGTTGGGATGACAAGGCTGAAAATTGACCCGACATCTGCATCCACCTGATGTGTCACCATTGCCCTGTAAAGAGTACGGAAGAGACAAAGAGTCAGAAGTAGAGAACACATGATACTCAAGTGTGGCATCTTGGTCTTTTGAAACCACATGTAATTGTATTTAGAAGAGTGGGGGGTGGAGTCTGAGTGCGAGCTCAAGACACCTACACCTGCGACCTGCACCTATTGGATGGTAAAAGCTGTCAATCACACTGTATCCACGCCCCAATACATACTGAGGTTTATCCTTCATTTTATTCATTGAATACGACTTGAAACAAGCGACTTGGACCAAAAACCCAATTTCAGGAGCACATATGTGAATAATAACATGAACTATGGTCTAATACCATTTAGCTGCTGCAGTCTCGGGTCCTGGCTCCCAGTCACACTGTCATGTTTTACTGGTTGTTCAGGTTTAACACTGGTGTTTTTCCTGCTGTGACCCGTCTGTGTGGAAACTCTCCTCAACACTGAACCAACACTTGTGTGAATACTCACATTTGGTCCCCAGCGAGCTTGTTTGGTGACCCAGCAGATTTCTGTCTTGCACATCAAACAGCAGATCCAATCGCAGCCGTCCTTTTTCTGGACGACGATGTCGCACCTGGGGCATTTCATGGCCTCGCCATTCTGCAGGAGGCTCTATTGTGAAATACAATGAAACAGATGCAGTCACAGAGAAACACATTTAAAATAAACTACACAGATAAGCAACACTGGATAACACTTGTAGTACAAGAGAAAAATCGATACAAGCTACTTGAAAGTTATTTTAAAGTAGAGGAGAAAAAAGACCGACATTAAACAGTTATGAGTGGAGAACAGCCTGAGGTGCTGCTGGTGCAACTCACATGGATACTCATGTATGTGTCAGACTTGTTAAAAGACGTGTAAGAAACTGTCTTCAATGTGAGATAAAAAAGAATTTATAAAATGTGTTAAAGAAAACATCAGCCTTCCAGTTTAACAGTGATCACCATGTAATGATTGATACATTGATTGCACAAGGTTCATTCAGCCCCTCCCGACTCTTCCCTCTCTAACTCGCTCGTGCTGACACACACACACACACAGACATCGGACACATCAGGAAACTCAGACGATCCCTACAAACTCAACACTGTCCACATGTGATCGGATTCCTCAGGACGGATGTTGATCTGAACAGGATTTGTGAGCAGCAGGGAGCACAGGCCTGTTTGCTGCCCACTGTTATCACCTGTTAATGTCGACACAGTGAATTTACATTTAGCTCAAAGATGGACCTACCTCTAACATCTGCTTCGTTTGTTGAGCCGCCTGGTCGTTCTCTGCTCGGATGCGCAGGTCATCCTGGTAGTCCTTGCAATTCATGCCTTTATGGATGGCCTTCAAAATAAAACACAAAATTCCTTTATTTGTGGTGCTTCTACTATACAGTGCACATCAAAGCAAACCCTCCTCAGTTAATACAATGAACACAATGCTACCCTGCAGAGGATGCAGTTGGTTTCCTGGCAGAGCTCACACTGGAACTCGTTGACTTCGTCCTCGTAGACGCACCATCCTCGACAGTTGGGAGTCTGGCAGTGGAAGCTGTGCTCTGCGCAGCTTTCTGCGATGCTCAGACGCATCTCCAGAAAACGCTGGTGCTCCTCATCAGACAGCAGCTGCAACCAGGATCACATAGTTAACGATAACAGGAATAAGATGAGAGAGTGTGAGAGTGAACAGGATGTATTAACTTTACATTAACAGGAAATAAAAGTATGTGCTACTTATTAGAGATTATCTTTCCCCATCATCTAGTGTAATTTTCCACAATATCAAATGGTAATGTGCTGATTCAAATTGTAATAATTATCTACTGAAACAAGCGTAATGAAAATCTTGTTAGTAATATGTAATTGGATTATCAATAGTGTATCCTATTACTCCCCTTCAACTTTCAAAGTTTGAGTTTGTTTCTTGTCTCACCGCTCGGATTTCTCGGTCCGGTATTTTACTGTCACATTCTTCAGGACACGACACTTCTGCATCTTGACTGTTCACTATTGTCCCTTGTAGACACTCCCTGAACAAGGAAACACACACACACACACATAAAAAAATACAAATGTGGAAGTGCATAAAACATATTTATCACAGTCATGTCATATGAAATGCAACAAAGCTGTTTCCTGTCCGACCTGCAGAAGGTGTGGTGACACTCTCTGAGCACGATGCCGTCTCCCGGCTCCAGGGTGGAGAAGCAGATGGGACAGTCTGTCTCTGTGGCATTGGGAATCAGGTTCTGATCTTCTGCCTCAATCAAGTCCAGATAGTTCCTCTCTCGCTCTTCCTGCTGAGTCTACCGAGTAGGAGCGAGAGGAAAATGCACAACATGAACTTGCATTACAAATTGTCAGTACTCACTATTATTAACATGTTTCCAGAGAATAAAAAGTGATGCAGCTGATGACTGTTCAATAAAACTCCAGTCTGGTGGTGTGATACTTCATCTATTGGTTCTGCATAAAGAAAAAAAAACTGTAGATTATCTGATCAACATCCTTTTCTACACAAGAGAGTATTTCGGTAAACATTACTTGACCGATATTGATTTTTGGGGGACTGATGCCGATACTGACATACTGACCCACATAGATGTATATAAATCTGTAAATGATTCTTAAGATGTCATTATCAAACCCTTATGGTGAAGAAATGTAATGGAGGCTTGAAGTTTAACTATAAATGACTTTTACATTAAAAAAACAGAAATAAAATCTAAAATATAGAACTTGAGAAAATAAATAAGTAAATCAGCAGAAGTTCACATGTTTTCTGCCAAGTTTATTCTGTGAAACAGGTTTTCAGAATCGGCATTTTAACATAAGTGCATAAACACGTAAGCGCTGATATCTATCTATCTATCTATCTATCTATCTATCTATCTATCTATCTATCTATCTATCTTTAATCAGTACACCAATACATGTCAAGGCTCTAATAACTATCCAGTGCATTTAGATTACTAGAGAAAACTCTGATGGCCTCCAACTTCCAATCTGGAAGTAGGAAAGTAAAGTAAACACCTCCTGACTTTCAAGCTCTAGAAATACTAACTGTATGACTCCAGCGTCACTGTGATGCAGGTCAACTTGGGTCAAACTTAGATACACATTTTGTCACCAGCAAATCTCGCTGCCTGAATTTGAAAGGAGTAGCACTGTTACCTGCTCATACTGCAAAATGGCCAGCTGTTCCTTCTGAATCCGTAGAACCTCCTGCTGGTCTGGCTGGTAGATGGCAGGCACCTCATAATCCTCTGGCTGTTCCCCTCCACACATCTCACAGCCGGGACGAGTTGGTTTGTTCACGTACGTGCACTGAGTGCAGGCCCAGCCCAACTACACACACAACCACAGATTATACTTATATTGTTCTTTAGCCAAATAACAAAGTGTTCCACAAAGCGCCAAATAAATCAGTGAAATCATCCATTTTTGTAACTATTTCAAAGACAATTTACAAATTAAAATGTGCAGCTGCTGGACACACACTAGGTGGACATGCAGGCAGACAGAGTGTGTATTCTGACCGGAGGTTTAGGAGCCACAGGAGGAGGAGCAGTGTGCCTGGGCTGTGGAGGAGGAGCCGTCTTCTCACCATCACCTCCTCCCTGCAGCCCCCTGGGAAAATGTGGCATCAACACCACTGAATCCACGATGCCTACAAATAGATGATCCTTATTGTAAGCATCTGTTTCACTGGTCAGTTCGACTGTTAATTCCACTGGAGAAACGTTTGTGTCTTTTATATTTGATATTTATTGTCCATGTCTGTGTGTGTGTGTTGCTGACCGTCTATGCGTTGCTGCTCTTGGTCCAGTTTGTGTTGATGGCGTGTGAGGTGAGCAGCTTGGGCGGAGAGGATGAACAGGAAAGCCTGGTCCCCACTCTTACGAATGCCGTGGCTGTACAACGTCTCCCTGTCCCGAGCCAGCCGCTTGCCGATCACCCAGCGCTGCAGCGTGGGCGCGAACCCGAACTCAGTGTTGATCTGAAATTCGGAACGCATCGTTCATTGCAGCCATGATGTTTGTTTGGTGGAAAAATTGATTCTCACTTGTGACTGATGATAAAAGACAGTGTGTGAGCTGTATTGTCATGTACATGCATTTCAAAAAAAGAATTGCATAAGAAATATAAAAGTAGCAACAGATATAATGTAAACTTGTGTTTACTATGATACTTGTTTCATAACAACATAAGGAAACTAGTAAAATATCTGAATTAACACATCAGGGCTCAGTTTAAACTTTATATCATTGACAATGTTTTAAAGTGTAGTTGTGCAATCAATAGTATTTTTTAATAAAAATGGTTAGTAAAATATTGAACTCATCAAAATTGCTGTTGCATCAGTACCTGGTCTTTGAGTTGTGCAATTGTCATATCAGCAGAGACCACAGTGGTCATTGGGATGTAAGTTTCTGACTGAGCATCCTCGACTCCGACTCTCAACCTGAAGAACAGAACATCTCAGTTTTAGTTTTTCTTTATTGGATCATATGTCTAAAAGGTTGGTACATGCACATACACACACCTTGTTATCACCTCCACCAAGGAGGTTATTTTCACTCCAGTTTGTTTGTTGGTTGGTTTGTAAGCAGTTAGATTTTGGTGCAGATCGAGATCTGGGGGCGGATCAAGGATTTTGTTTTCTACTTTCTTTAAAATAGTGTTTTTCTCTATTTTGCCAGGAAATAATTAATTTATCTTGATGAAACAAAGCAGGCACATTCAGAGTACTGGTATCTATGAGTGTTTTTATTTGATGCAGCCAGGATCGGACTTAAAGAGACTGTTGTATGTGCTCTACTAAGAGCTACTCCAATTCATATCTCCTGCCATGGTTGACCTTGATTCCTCTCATCTATTAAACATTAGCACATCTCTTCAAAAGAGGGAAACTAACCAAACAAGCAATAAGGTTTTCAGTTTTGGAAACATCTGACTAGAGTACCCTACACACAGTTGTGTCCCACCTTATGGAGTCCTGCGGGTAGGCTGGTTTATTGACACTGACAGACACAGGAACAGACAGTTGCGACAACCTCTGGCACAGTTCAACCGCTTCCTGACTGTTTCCGCTGCTGAGGGCGTCGCTCAGAGAGAGGGCGAGTTCCTCCGCTGCAGAGGAAGCAAGGAACGTCATTAATGATCAGCACAGGATCTAGTGGTGAGGCTGCAGATAACAACCAACTGAGGTTGAGGAGGAAACCAACACTTTCCACCACAACTCTCCCTTTTCAAGCATGTAGGAGAAACTACCATGTGCTTTGAGTGATGTCAAAGAAAAAGAAAAATGCAAAGGCTCTTTTTTGACCATTTTGGGCTACTGTAGAAACATGATGGTGCTGGACTCTGTGGAGGAGGACCCACTCATTTCACAGATTTCTAACAACATATTCAAGCTAATATTCAAGAAAAACACAACTATTACTTTCAGACAAATTATACACAAATGAAAACATAGCTGATTATTATTAGGAATATTATATTTATCAACTGATTTCCCTAAATCCTTCACACTGGTCCTTTAAAAGTAAAAGTAAATCTTCTTTAATAGTTGACACCAATGTCCTCACTTCTATGTGATACTTGTCACACCTACTGTCATACTGACCTATCTATAGTGGTATCTCCATCTTCCTCACACATATACATTATGTTCCTTGTAGACACTTTATTTTGAATGTACTTTGTACTCGCGATTAGAGAGAACAGTTCGTTTATGACGGATCAAAACAACAGACGACTTTCAGTGTAGCCACATTCATCACAGACATGTTTTCCCTGAGATCAGATATGTAGCTCACCCTCTTTCAAATTGACTTTCGGTGCAACTTCAGAGGCCATGATCACACCTGAAAACACAGGTAACACAAGACGTTATGTCACAGACAACACGAGAGCTGTTTGTGTCAAGACAAGTTTTACAGCCGAGCTGTCTGTGAGCGTCCTCAGATGTTCACACCCAACACACGCTCACCTGCAGAGAAGTTTAAGAGCCCAGATTCAGGATCAGTCTCAAGCCACAGACTAAACTTCGTGGTTCGTCCTCCGTGCAGTTTCCACTCCTGAGAGTCTGACAGGGAGAAACGAAAGCGAAACCGACTCGTCTTCAGGAAGAGCAACTTTAGAAAGGATCGCTCCTGGATCACTTAGCTCCGCCCCCCTCTCATGTTGAAAAAAAGTTACATTTAAAAGAAAAAACATAAATTAATTTAATTTCAACTCTTTAATTACCTGCACTGTTATTTCATTTGTTTATTTTGAGGCAGATGACGTCCATAACGAAATAACACATCGTACAGAGTACAAGAGCAATAAGTAATACATACAATTAAATTAATACAAAATTAAAATTAAATCAAGAAATATATATGTATAAAATTATATGTTTGTGTACAATATGAGATTATGTACAATATCTGTACAATAAAGAGGAGGATAGGCAAAGTTTAAAATTGGTAATATTTCTTATTGTTATTCATATTATGCCTATTATCATTAATAATAATAATAAATAACACAATGAAGATTTTAGGAAAGCAATGAGTAAAAAAATACAATAAAATGAAAAGTAAAAAGACTGTGTATGCACATGAATATATATATATATATGCAGTATGTCAGAGATTGTTCAGAAGAATATGTACAAAATATACAAGCATACAAAATAATAATAATATTAATAATAATAACAGTAATAATAATAGATATTTAATTAACTATAATCATGATTAAATATTGTTTGTAAACGGCCAATATGGTGAAACAGTGACTTCCAGGATCCAGCAGGGGGCAGCGTCTGTCTAAAGTTAGTGTAGTGACGTTCAAAGCGAAGTTTGCTCTCACGTGAAGGCATCACTGTTAATAACAAGCAGGTTTAACATTCAACTTTACCTCGAGAACATTTTTAATTGTAAAGATCTTTTTGATGAACACAAGTTGGCTGACTGTGCATTTGACTTCACTTCTAGTTTAGCTGACACAGTTGATGAAATCTAGGATCTCGTTGCACAAACGAGAGAAAAGAGTCAGGAGAACATCTGTACGATCCAGATGAGCAGATAAACGAGCCAATCAGAGCGGCTCCAGCAGGAGGGGGAGGGGCTGGAGCTCTCCTCAGCATCCCCCCCACCCCTCTCTCTCTTTCTCTCTCTCTCTCTCTCTCTCTCAGCAGTGACTTCCCATCTCTTGCACACCTTCACTCTCCTCTCCTTCCTCCTCTCTCCACGACCGAGGTGTGTCCCTCCGCGGTGAAAGATGCTGTCCTGTACGGAGATGATCACCATGTGCCTGCAGTCCGCCAAACACAAGCACCTCCGGGCTCAGCAGCAGCAGCAGCAGCAGCAGCACAGCGACGGACAGGGACTGACCATCTTTCATGATGTGAGTGCATCTCCTCCGTTACTCAGGCAGCCACATGATAGGTGATAACTCTGCTTTTAATATACGTGCAATTAGTCTTAAAACCATTATCAGAGAGGTGATAGTCCAAAGACGTTCAAGCTGCATGAACTCTTGTGTCGTGTGTGTGTGTGTGTGTGTGTGTGTGTGTGTGTGTGTGTGTGTGTCATGTTGTGGGGATCTAAATCTGTTTACAAAGTCATATTATGGGGACTTATCTTATGTGGAGTAAGTCCTTAAAATGTGAATCATTCAGATTTAAGGTGAGTTCAAAGGTTTAGGTTTAGCTTTAGGTTAGGTTTATGTTCAAGTTAGGTTTAGGTTTAAGTTAGGTTAAAGTAAAAATGCTCCAGACAAGCGTTACAAGGGGCACAGGCACGCAGGGAAGTAGGTTTAGGTCAGGATCAGGGTGAGGTTTAAGATCAGGGTTAGGATCTGGCCCAGATAAGTCCTAACTATGGTTAAAGTTAAAATAAGTAACTCAGACTTTATTGTAAGTCAATGTAATGTCCTCTGAAGTTATGGAGACACAGCTCTGTGTTTGTTTTCATTCTTGTTTTCTCTGTAGGATTCTGTTAACACTGACCTTGTCAGGACCACTTGTCCTCATGGGGCCTGGAGTCCGCTCCTAATGAGGCAACACGTCATATCTGAGGTCCTGGTTGAGTTCAGTGGTAAATTGTTAATTGTGGTTAGGTTAGGGTTAGGCTGTCCACAGTAAATGTTAGTCACTGCAAAGTCCTAATAAGCTGTGGAAAAATGTGTGTGTGTGTGTGTGTTTGTGTGCATTAGGCTGCAGCTGCTGCCTCTGCATGATAAATTAAGCTCTCAGTCAGACAGTTCCAGAGGCTGCTGGGGGGGTTCTCCTCTCATTGTTGCACACACACAAACACTTCTGATCTTCGAAAGCTTTATGTAAAACAGAAATACAAAAAAAAACCTGGTCTTGTATCATAATATTAAACTTCATAACTTTAGGATTGAATCCTGTGATCAGTTTTTGATTCGTGCCATTCACTTGCATAATGCATTTCCACGTATATGCATTTCTCTCTATAGTTGTAAGGACACTCATTGTCATAATACATTCCCTAGCCCCTTAGCTGCACCTTAACTATCACAACCAAACACCTAACCCTACCAAGCTTTTAAAAAAGCCAAAATGTCCAAACAATGATGTTATTGAATCAAAATTGTCCCTCAGTGACATGCGCACGCACACACACCCCCCCATGTGGATCTTAAACCAATAACACCCGCTGCCTGAATAACCTGCGGCACTGCAGTAGAGACTCTCCATCGATAAGTAATTATCCATCCCTCACACACTGTCCTGGGTTAGTAGGCCAACCATGTGTCCAAATCTGAGCCCTTATTTTCTGACAGCTCGTCTAAACAAGGACGCACCATACCCACATTTTGCAGAACTGTCATTGTGTTGGTGCACACGCTGTCCCCGAACAGAGCACAGCAGCAGAGAGCACCTCCCCCATTTAATTTCGAGATGTCGGAGCAGAAACAGACGAACAGGCGCGCTCTGCGTGATTGTTCACATAATTATGTTTGAAACGTCTAAAACAGCCTGTGTGCAAGGGAAATAATGGTGTTGGGAAATATTAAATACTCTGAATCAAAACCAAGACAGCCTGTCTTGGTTTTGATACCATACTTGTCTGCTCCTCGTTTTGCTGCAATTACTGTTCTTTTTTTGTCTTTCTGTTCTGGTTTGGGGGAGGCAAGACATTGTCCAGACATTGAAAGTCTTATTTTCTGTGGGTTGTCCAATTATTCCACTGGAACAGCTGAGAGATTTTAATTTAAAAATTCTAAGTGTTGGCTTAAAGCAGGTTGAGATCTGTCTCATACTCTGTTCAGCCAACGTGTGGGAAACAAACGCCACAGCAAAGTAAAGCAGTCATCTTGAAAAAAGCATAAATCTCTCAATTTGTCATTGATTTTCAGAGATAATACCAGTGGATGGGCTTTATTATGGAGAGTTACACATTTAAGATCAATACAGGAGATACAAATACACAAACAAGTAGAGCCAGAGCAATTCATCAGTCTGCCAATACAAAAAAAATGGTATTTGTATTGATTTGTATGTTTGCAGATATGAAAACTGTTATTTTATAGACTAAACAATGAGGAAAATATGTGCCTTTAGATTTATTTTCTTAATTTAAGTTGGTTGTATTTGTATTGTGTTCTTTATTTCTAATAAAGTTTATGCTTAAGCTGTAAAACATCAAATGTCAATTAGATTTTTGTCATAACAGTAAAAGACTTCTCAGGAATCATTGCCATTTAAAAACATGTATTGGCTGATGAGATAAAATGAGATGTACCTTTCTCCTCCATAAAAGAAATGAGGCAGTATAAGAGCAAACTGTGTGAAGAATGAAAATAGAAATACTATTCACAAGGATGTTTTTTTCTAAACATGCAATATAAAGAAAAATATCATGTAACATCTGTATCCGCACTGGCCCCAAAAATCTACATCTGCCAGGCTTTACACATCTGTTTTGGAATTACTCAATGGAATCATGATGTTAATTAAGGTAAAATAATGTAAAATCTGAAAGAATAAGACCAATTTACTTCTAAACCATACTGCCCAGTGTGCGTGCAACAGAAAGACGCTCCTCTGTGGTGGGAAAATCAGATTGAAATTACTGATATCTTTTCACATGGCGATGAGCCGGTGTATAATAGAGATGTAGAGGTTGTAACAACTCAGATTCACAGATGTAGAAACGAGGAAGTGACTGAAAAAATGTCCTGTTCAAAGAGCAGCTGACAGTTAATGATGCTGGGAGGATAGTCAGCGTCCGTCCACATTGACGGCTGCTTTTTTTTAAATCATCTTTGTTGTTTGTAACCAGTGGTTCTGTATTTCTCAGCTCTCACATTTCTGTCCTCCCTCTCCCATGGGGTTTAAGGATATAGAAATGAAAAAAGAATGTAAAATGTACATCCAGCACAAAAGAAAAACAAAAAGAGAGAGAGAGAGCCCACTGTCTTAACACCTGCCGCCATGATATGAGAACGGCAGCGCTCTGGGAAGCAGCTCTGACCTTTTCTGGGATCGCTGTAAATGATGCATTATCGTCTCTTGACACCGCAGGGCTCAGAGAAACGGCCCAAACAAGTTTAGCAGCACTGTACTTGCTCCTTGTTGCAGGGAGCAGGAGGGACAACGTGCTGCTCGGATGAGTTACACCGCGCCACAGGGGATGAAGAAAAGACTGCTGACTGTGAAGGAGATTCACAGAACACTGTATGCAAGATTAAAGTAGATAGAATATTAATTTCAGATTACTGTATTAAAAGAGGGGAGTTCAGAAGCTCCTGCCATCGTGCGTTTAAAAACAGCAATTTCACCTGATCCAGATAACAGATTGGCAGCTCTACAGTCACCTTCGAGTCTTGACAGGTGATAAACAGGAACGATTGCGATGAGAACTGGTTTGAAACGACCGTTCGAGGCTGCAAAGAGACGGATGTTGGCAGATTTCGAGTTTGTTGACCTTTGGAAATGAAAGAGAGGGTCGTGCTCTGCTGTTATCAATAACCTGTAGGTCAAAAATGATGAGTAAGTCAAGTCTGACCTCTGCTTAATGTGAAGCAACGTATGGGAGGAGTTGAATCGATACGATATACAGATGTTTTGTTTTTTTGGCATTTCTTAGCTCAGTGTCTTTGTTGAATCTACGATGAAATCAGATTTGGCGGAAATAGAATATGAAAATAGATTATTAACATAGGATGGGGCAGTGTGGCTTGTGACATGCAGATTATTTTGATTAATTTTATTTCACACACAGACACATAGCAGATGTCCATCATGGCAACACCATTCATAGAAACACTTCCTATTTGTCTGAAGATTGTGTCGATTGCTTAACAGTACTCTGAAATAGCTTATAGCAATATATAAAAAAATAACACCAAGTCAAGTAAATCATTTAAATTTATATATAAATCACACACATAATAAAGCAAATACAGTTTCATCTTATAAAGAATATTGACTATAGAATATCTATCGCAGATAAACCAGGTAGGATGCAAACATTCATGTTCAGAATATGCACAGAGACGTTCCAGTTTCTGATTCAGTTCTCTTCACGCTACCTGAGCCTTCTGTTGAATCACATCTGTGCTCAGCAGACTTGAGAGAAATCTTTTCTTCTTTCCATCCTTTCATCTTGACATTGATTTATAAAGGAGCAGCTTCTCCTCTGTGTTGTCCAATTATCTCAACCTCCTACTGTACACCAAAACAACTATGATTGTTAAAATAGTCACAGCTCCTGTTCTCAAGGCAGCTGACCATAACCCTGAGATAACCTGGTCCACCACGAGCCATATTCTGGCCTCGCTCGTCTGAGGCAAACAGTCGGCACAGTCGTCACTCCGTCTCTGATCTGAGCTGATCTGTGTGAGTTGATTATCTTCTGCTTCAGACTCTCTCTCTCGAGCAGTCGTGAAAATTTGAACCAATGTTAAAAATAGGCTTTTTATTTATCTGAGATGATGACTGCGACAGTCCCTGCCAGCTCGTGACCACTCACACACTCAGCAGTCAACAACCATCACACTGTCAATTCCTCCTCGGTGAGAGAAAACAGAATGTGGAAAGCGTGTTTGGGCTACATGCAAGTCTCATTCCTCCTTTCATTCTTTTCATATTTTCCAGCCGTGCAGATTTTGTATGTGTCTTATGCTGTGTATAACAACATTTTTTGCTAGTTAACCTGAAAGAGTATTTGATTTGTATTATGTGAAATGAATGTTTGTTTAGGTTTTTGTGTTTTTATGTTATTTCAGTTTTTATCAAGTGTTGATTTATCTCTTGTTCATTCAGAAACATCCTCATCATAGCTGCTACTCAACAACTCACTTTGGTATCGTTGTCAGAGCCTCTCTTGTGAATCATAAACCATCTCATACTTCACCAGGACTCCCATAAGGAATAGAGTGAAAGGAATGAAAACTAATAGTGGTGCAGCAGAAGACCAAACAACACATTGACTATGTTTACATGGACACCAGTATTGCTCCTATTAATCTTATTCTGAATAAAACATCATGGTATGGTATTTACATGAGCTGCTAACAGAATAATCCGTCCATATTCCTATTTACATGTTCAGAACATAATCCAATTATGATGTTAGATCATTACATCCACTGTGCTATTCTGTCCAACGTTATTCCACCAGTTTAAAACCCAAACCTGAAATAGTTTCACCGCTGTATGACAGTTCTGTGACTGAGGTTTAATGAGTAACACTCATAATGTCTCAGTGTGATTTGAATGGGGCATTAAATAATCCATCATGCACAATAACATGGCCCTGGAAATGTGATTCTGTCAGACTTTAGCTTATTAATAGAAGCTGCTCTTCCTCCTATGGTTGAGTTTGAAAAAAATGTTTTGTTCATCCACACCACACACAGCAAATTGTCTGTCAACGGCTCTGGTACTTTGTCCACTCATCTGTCAGGTTCGTTAGAAACGTTCATTGGACTCGAGGATGAGCTCATTATATTTTGTTACTGTGGCAGTGACAAAAGATGTTTTTGACCATAACTCAAAAATGAATGCACGGATTAAATAATGAAGCATTTTCATATCCAGAGAGTCAAAGGTCAGCATCACTGTGACAGGGAGATTGAGACCATATTTCCTGCGATGTGATTGGCTGGTGGAAGCGTACAAACGTGCGGCCGTACAGATTTCCTTTGAGCGATTCTCCTGACTCAAGTTCCTGACTATCAATTATACTAATCGTCTCTTTGCAACTCAGCAGCCCCACACTGCATCTGAATTTACTGTTTTACCTCAGAAGTGACAACCCGTTTTTGACACATTACAACCAAATGGCGTTCAACGTCCTCGTTCATATGACGACTCAGTTCAGTGCAGCAGAACCAAAATAAATCTTTCACAGCAGACATCACATTCCTGCTGTGCTTTTCACAATCTGCCATGATGGGTTTTAATCTTCACCTGTTTATTGAAAGAATCCCGTCAGTGATTCGAACTAACAACCATGTCTTCCCTGCTCTTTTTTTTCTCCCCCACAGATTTTCCGCCGAGCAGACAAAAACGGTGAGTAAACAGAAGATAACACGTTCTGTGATGAATAATTAGTCACATCGCATGCTTGTTGGTTCCCCACATTCTTTGACTCGTTATTATGTCTGAGACACTGTGGGCGGAGGAATACAGGATTTTTTTATGAATGTCCCTTCGAGTGAAGCTCTCTTTGATGAAGTCGATGTTAAAATGAGGATTATGGCCATGACTCTGGGATTGTGTCTCACAGATCTGTCAGTGTCCACAAAGACGACTGGCTGCTGTATGGAAATGAATGTGAGTCATGTTAACAAAGGCTGAGGCGAGTTATGTTCTCTTGCAGTGTAGTTTTTCTATATTAACATTTTTTATTATACATTCAGCACCACAAAGTTTAGTCTGAGTTCACTACCTCTAATGTCTATAAGTACCCTTAAGTAGGTAAGTGTGAGGAATGGCTGTAGTGGACTGTAACCTTTTACTGTCTCAATGGAAACATTCAAAGTGCCTCTATATATTTTAAGTTATCACTGTGGTGTGCATATACATCCTCATGAAGTATAATTATATCTAAGTGCTCCTTTTGTAGAGTGCAGATCAAAGAGTCACGTTCAGACCTGGTGTGACTGTAACGTCCGTCCTGTGAGATCCGCTCTCAAGTGGTCAGCTCTACATTTCGTCTGTTCTGTGAATGTCTCCTGTGACCACTTATGATTGGATCTTACTTCCCCGCTCCGTATGCAAATAAACATGCACGTTGTTCTCGTTCACAAAGACGTTGTTTTAGCCAATTTACAGATGTGTCTGTTGTCGGCGTGTCTTTATGCATGAGAGTCTGAGAGCGAGAGAGAGTGAGAGCTGAGTCAGGAGCGAATCAATGGGCTGAATGCAGCATTAAATGTGGCACCAAAAAACGTGAGTGACTGCATCTCAAATGCATCCTCAATGTGTGTTGGGAGCTTAGTGATGTCCACTTGTGATCTGATCCGTGCAGTTTAATGTGTAAAGACCATTTGTCTCTAGAACCCATGGATACTCTAATACTGTTATATTCATTATTAGTATATGAGTTTATCATCATTCTTTGAGGTTAGATATATTATTGAGATGTAAAAAACCATCACTGTCATTGTTTTGTTTTACGGATTAAAAAAGTTGAAAAAAAATTATATTCTATCTACACATGTTAAAAATCCTTGCTGTGATAATAACCTCCTCTGTTCTGTGGTGACCGATGCCCCTGTGCACCAAGATATTTATATCTGTCTATATCTGAACAAGGTGCCAAAGCAAATCAGGGCAAGTGCACGTCACTGGCACTTTGATGCATTTACAAGAGCTGCAATCAACATGCGTCAAAACAGCAATTACTTTTCAGAAGCTCTTACCTTTAAAATGACAAGTCTGGTACAGGATGAATTGTTTTTCAGCTGAAAAACGTAATCAGTTATATTTGTATTATAGTGAGCTGAGCTGAGATGAGTGTCATCGCTGTCATGGAGAATGAGGAGAAAGGAGGAATGTTAGTAAAAGGAAAACTCATAGAAAATATACTGTGCTTCATCCACTATGATTCACTAATCAGTACCACGGGGATTTAACCTGGAAAACAGACCAATCAGTGAGCTCATGTTTATTCTCTCTGGCCTCGTCCTATTAAGACTATTGTCCATCTGTCCTCAGGCAGGACGGTCCAATCACAACCATTTGTTGTTTATCGATGGATATAGTGACTGACAGGTGACATTTTTTTGTTAATAATCAACAATAATCAATTGACTCAGTTTCCTTCTGCTCTACAGATGATTTCAGTGTCTTTCAGCTCATTGTTTTGGTTCACCCTCACAGCTGTTCTCAGAACTGTTTCCAGCTGCAGCAGACAGCTGAACAGCTTTACACCACCTCCTCAAAAACAAACGTGAGACAGAAAACCTAGCAACCAGCTATGAACACAGTCGACCATTTAGCAGTTAAAGAAATTGTGGAAACCACATTTAAAGAAAGTGAATTTTGGACCTATTGTCCACTTTTGTTTTGTTTGAAGGAACAGACTCCAAATGTATATGTTACTCCATGTGTGTTAAAGTGGGAACGTCGGCTCACTCCCAATACAGCTGGGACGCCCGCTACAGCTCAACTGGCAGTGTGGGGTGCTTTGCACATGCAGTTGCATAGGTTTGATTCCGATCTGCCTTTTTACAGCTTGTCTTCCCCGCTCTCGCTCTCCATTTCACGCTTACTTTATCAATGAAGGGGAAATGGCCACATATAAGATTGTAAATACTTTCAGTGTAATCAGCAATAAACTTTAACCAAAATTAAATAATCCTGAAACAACATTAATGTACACTGACAGAGTGATGAATCATTTTGTGGAAAAGCTCTGGAAAATGATGATAAAACTGAGCTTTGAGATAAGGTGGTTGGAAATAGAAAGGTTCATATTAATGTCCCTGAAGTTGCATATCCTGCTTTTAATGGTTTAAGACTCCAGTGTTGCATGAAGTCCTGAGAATAATTAGCCATCTTACATAACCACTGACAGGAACTAAATGATCAGGACGGTCACAGAGCAGCAGTTTTAATATAGGAAAGGACGTTTTTCTGGTGAATATTTGTCTTCGTGGTCCAGATTCTGATCACATCATATTTTCCATATGAAACACACTGTGAAAGTTGAAGAGGTCATTTCCTCTTCGTCTCCACAGCTTTTAATGAACCTTCATCTCTTTCTTCTTCTTCTCATCTAAACCAACATGGAAGAAAAGAGCAGTCAGCTTCAGACCATTAGTGAGTCTCAGAACAGAGAAGCAGTAGGCTGTGTGCTCTGAAGGCAGCATACAGGCATAAATTAGGATGTGGAAGCTGAAAGGAAGCTTATATCACAGACATCCTCACAGATGGTCTGGTGGAACACGTCCTATAAGACAGCACTGACACTAAGAATAACCAGCATTGGAAAACAGGATATACAGTATTTCATAGGAGTTTAGAGGACCCAACTCTAGTTGCTTTCGAAGCTGTGATGCATTTGTGGAAATTTATGAACCTCATAGGAGAGGCAGCAATGGGACAAACCTTTTGAGAGATAAGAGTGCGGCCTACTTTGTGCCCTACTTCTACGGGATTCCCTCACTTGTTCGTTTGCTTCTTGTTTACTCTGGTCCTCAGAGCACTTTGTGCAGACCCTGACTTTATTTCAGTGTAAAGTGGAAGAGGTCAGACACATGGTCTTTATCAGTGTGTGTGTGTGTGCGTGTGGATGAAATCATGCAGAACTGTCTTTGAGAACAGTTTTCTCACCTACGAATTCCTAAATTATTTTTTTCTGGCTCAGTGTTAAGGACCAATTTAGGCAAACAGCTTTTGCGGCAACCGACAGTGGGATTTATTTTCCACTTTCTGTTGCTGTATTTTTTTTGCTGAGTTAAACTGTGTAGATGTTAGTTCAGTTTAAGTTGGAGGTATTACACAGTCACATGCTGCCTTTGACCACAAGTTCTTGTCCCTCAGCTGATTCTGCATATTCACACACATTATCTGTTTATAGTTTTCAAAAGAAACAGCTGCAAGTTGTCATAGTTTTGTGTTGGTGTTGTAATATTCCTATTTCTTATAACTAAATCACACAGTTAAGAAAACAAAACATATTGTTAGCAGCCACCAGTGCTCAAACACTGAAATCTAAGCTGCTTTACAAACCCCTGCAGAATTGCTCTGTTGACCCTGTTTTTTTTAACTTACCTCTTGAAATTGTAAAAACATTTCTGGCATAAACTACTGAGGGGAAATTTACAAATGAAACTCAGCTGAAACAAATACTTCAGAGTTTATAAATTCATTAAATACAGTTCACTTTATGTACAAATCATAAAAAGCAGAGCATTTTTAAGTTGTCATTTCAGTGCAGCCTTGGAGAGTGTCTGTCACAAGCTTTATGGAGAAATGATTTAGAAAAATCAGTGACTCTAATTTAAAGTTAACTTGGAGAGTGTGATTCGTTTTAAAGAGCTCCTGCTTCCTTTAAAACCAGGTCAACAACACTTTCTTATGCAGAGTGTGATTCATTTGCTGCCCATGATTAAGTTATTCACCAGGAAGCTCATTGTTCTCTTCTCAGAAAATGTTCCAGATATTGCTGCATTAAAAAACATCATTACCTTCACAATAACTGGAGTAACCACGAGAGGAGCAGTGCCTCATCCGTCATGGACACAATACAGGCCTGGATGTGGAGGTTATGGATGTTTCTGGAATGGTTGATCTACTTAGAGAATGTAATGTTCCTTGTATGTCATTGAGCCATGCATGAATGATTAGTTCATCTAAAAGCTGTTTGTGTTGGGAATCTGTTCAACAACTTGATCCTGCAGCTGCTCTGAAAGGATATTAAAATGACGATGACATTTTAATGCAACAAAGTCTTAAAACACAAGATGGAGGGATGTGAAAGAAGAAGAGATTTCCAGGAAAAGGAAAGTACAGTTTGGGTGGAAACAAATTAATTTCAAAGAGATGGTATCTAATCGGTACATAGATTTACATACTCGCAAATGCATGACCAGGCATTTTTAGTAGAAAAGAGGCCTTTCCAATGCTGGTATCGTTATCAGACATCTCCACTGTCAATGATTCGTTTCAAATCTTCTTTAATACACCATGATGTTTATTTTGTACATTTTGGTTCCATTTAAAGTCAAATAGACGATAAAGCATGGTGGAATGGATACTGTGTGATTGACAGCTAGTACCATCCAATGGGTACAGGTCGCAGGTGTAAGTGGGTGCGCGGTGCCACAAAATGTCAAACCTGAGGCTTGAAAATGTCACTTCACAAACGAAAAATGGGGGATGTCACTTGGTCAGGAAATGCCAAAATGTTAAAGGAACTATCTCTGAGACAACAAATCAGTTCAGAAGAAAAGGACAGTGATAAACAACAGAGCTGTGTATCGCCCCATCACTTCAGGGCGACTCTTGACTGAACAATGATGTCCCAAGTGTTGCATCAGTATTCTCTCCATCCTCACATCCCTCAAATCATTGAAAGAGATGTGGGTGATAGAAGTGAGGATCATGAAATGGAAATGAGAACAGACTGAAAGACATAAATCTTAAAGATAACAAACAGATAATCCCAAACACCACCACCACCTCACTGTGCCTATTCATTTTCCTGATGCTTTTGATGCCATCTGTCATCACCATCCCTCAAGAACATAATGCAAGATTAAAGGCATGATCGCAGTTTGACATTTTATATGTGCAAAACAAATAAAAAACATTTTTTTCACTAAATATAACACAGACCAGACCTCTTAGACAAGTTTGCAACATTGTGGGTTTGCAAGCATCAGATGTATTCTAAGAAAGAAAATCTCAAATAAATACAAATCAGTAATCTTTCAGTATTTAGTTACTTCTAAAAGTAACACAGGGCCAAAAGTGATTGTGGTGCTCGGGCTAAGAGCTAGAACCCGACTCCAAGTCCAGGCCAACCTGCCAACTTCAATTACTTCCACCATGAAATTCCATTACCTCTGCCCTGTCCATTTGTTTAATGGTTGCTTTGTTTGTAAGCAGGATTGAGCAAAAAATGAATAACAGATTTGCAAAAAACTTGGAAGGATGGGACATGGACCAGAAAGAACCTACATTTTGAACAAAGATGCAAAGATCATTTGTTTTTTTTAAACATTGCGAGGGTGAATAATTTGTGCAGCTTGATGAAAACGATCCGTCATATTTAGGGAATGGATATCTATGAAGGTGTGAAATCTGGTGCCGCTTGATTGAATTTAAGGGCTCTGTTGGGCCTTGGCGGAGGTATGCGCTCCACTGGGAGCCATTCTAGTTTGTCTTTATTGCATTCACTGCAGTTGAGCTGCTCCTCGACTGGGTTTACATTTTTTAAACAGATTTGTTTCAGTGGCTTCTATTTGAAAGTGGTGATAAATCAGAAATTCAGAGGTGGGGAGAAGCCTCAGTCACCCAACATACTTCTTTTCTCTTGATCATGAATCCAATAATAATTTTAGAGGTAAAACACATACAGGGTCAAGCTTGTATATTTCTCGTGGTCATCTTTAGACATTTAACCCAGAACCGTCAAAATGAAGACTGTCAGCTGTCATCATCAGTCCATCACGGATTGTCCCCTCAGAGAATAACTGCTGCCAAATATAGTTAGCTTTCCAGTTACATTCATTCAACACAACACCTAAGGTCTTCATCAAAAATAAAAGAATAACTTTATCAACTAAGCAGGTTTAGATTTTATTGGTAAACTATGGTAGACAATGATGACTGCAGTTTTCTGCACCATATAAAATGTGTACTAAAAAGCAATGGACTTCCCTTAAGAGTAGAATTCTGTTTCTCTCTTTTACTGGAACGGCTCAGCTTCTGGTCCAAGAAGCACATTATTTTTTTTCTTGAAACCAGAACTCAAAACATCACAAAGCAATGAATAGTGAATGACTGTTGATCCAAAGGATTTTTATGCTGCTCTGAATACAAATGGGCAATAGAGTATGTGGTGCAAAATGCTGATGAACTGCTGTGAGGTGCAGAGCAATGATAACAAAATGGATTTAGTTATTCAGACTATTTCTTTTTAAAGCTTAAAAGCTGATATGTTTGTTTATGTGGTGCAAAATGCTGATAAACTGCTGTGAGGTACAGGGGTATGATAACAAGACAGATTCATACACTATTTCTATTTAGATTCTTAAAGCAGAGTTGTTTGTTTCTGTGTTGGTACAGTTCTTCTTAGCCCCCCCCCCCATAAAAAAATAAATCACAAAAAAGGCCTTTTTATTGTTTTTAAGCGGAGGAGGAAAAAGCAGATAGAGAACAAGAGGAAGATTAAAAGACTGTTGAAAAAGTGGTGCGCATCAGGCAATGTCTCTGAACAGCATGCTACACATTCAGGTCGGAGGTAGCGACGGGCCGTGTCAAAGAGGCTCCAGCTGAACAGATGGTTGCCAAGTTCGCCCTTGAATTTTCAGCCGTGCCGAGTCAGCCAACTGGAACTCTGATGCATATAAAACTGCCTCCATTTTACCTTGTCATGTCGCAGAAAGGGTCATTAATCAGGCAGATTACTCAAAGGATTTAATAAGTTTAAAGCCATTGTGTACTCTTACTACTTCTTTATGGCTGCAGTAATGACATGGCTGGATGGCTTCTGTTTGTTGAATAGGACGTCTGAGCCTCAGCCTGTTTGAACAATCAACGAATATTTCTTATGCTCATTTGTCTGTGTGCTCATCTGTTTTATGAATTTGATCTGTCCTTCAGTCACATGAACTGACGGACGTACCAGAGTACCTGGAGTTTTCCTGGTTTCAACTGGGCAGACAAACTAAATGGTATTAAAATGGAGAACGGGCCAGTGTGATTATTGGTCCAGACAAAGGTGGGGCTGGCTGTTTTCATATCATTCGCGTTACCAAATAGTCAACTCCACCAAGGAAGTTATGATTTCACCCCTGTCTGTTTGTTGATTACTCAAACCCAACTCAACAGATTTCTACAAAACTTGGTGGAAGAATGTGAAATATGACGAAATGCAAAGGTAGGGCAGAAAAGAGACAAAATAGAAAACGCTTGAGACGGGTTTAAAATAATGCCTCTTTTCAGCTGCTACCATGAGACGACAATCAGTTGCAAATGCAGTTAACTGGTATTATTATGATACATTAAAATGATGGCTTACTGCTATTTGTCTGATTAAATTGGAGTTGAACCACAAGTCATATCACAGATCCATGATTCACACAGCACCAGGCTTGTTTGTGCAAGTTTTTGGTTTTGAAGATGTATTTTAATGGCTCATTTCATGATGCACTGTACTTGCATAACATTCTTAAGAATGCAGGAGTCAAGGTCTCTAAAGAACCAGACCCCCTGAGAAAAGCTTCTTCAGGGCAATCTTTCAGTTGGGATGGACTTTTATTTTGGTATTAAACCGTCTCTCTCTGGAAGTCTAACTGCTGACTGATCTGTGTGATCGGTGCCAGTAGACAGATTGATAGTTGGCCCACGCAGGAGCACTTCTTCACAGATGACAACCAGGCTGTTTTTCTTCGGCCATAGATTTTTCTGTGAATCTTCTTGCACAACAAGCTGTGCTTATCGTCTGAGCAGGAGAACTGATGGAACGAAGTTTCATTACACTAACGATGCAACAAAATTAACAAGATGGGGTCCTGAAAGGTAACAGTGGGAATATAGTGCCCAACCATCACCCACTAAATATATCAACAGGAAAGAATAACAGAAGTGGACCTAAACCAAAAGAAAGAAAGGGGAAATAAAAATGGGCACATGACAACCTCTTAAAATAAACAAAACCAACAACACAAACTCAGAGAAACAACTAAAGGTGTCAACCCTCGAACAGCAAAGAACCAACTGAACAAGGAAACCAGACCTCCTTATAAACCCTGCAGCCTCAGCTCACTACCACTAGCTGAGGTCCCACGTGCATCCCATCGCTCCTGATGAGCTGGGGAACCTGTGAGCTGGATCCTCCATGTGATCTCGACCTCAATTACGTCGATAAGTCCCAGCTGCTACTGCTACAGAGCGCTGGTCGCCTGTTTATTAGTATTGAACATCTCGTGTCCAAATCACATCAAATTTGACACTGCACTTCCTTGGACCCTTAACAATACAAATAATACAAACTCCAAGTGTGAAGTTATTAATGCCGCGCTCCATTACACCTCAGAGCTCGGCACTCGGATTGACGTACCACCGGGTTGCACAGGAAGAATGTTAATGTTAGCCAGCTAACAATTGTTGGCAAAAACAGTTCCAAATAATGCAGTACACAACATTTCATGAATACTAACCTAATGACAGAAGTCTAATAAGCAGTCAAAACTACGGTACAAATAGGTTTATTGAGATTTCTGGAATGTGCCGGTGGTTTAAGTTAGTGTGGTGCTGTCGCTGTAGGTTGTCCCATCATTCCCTCTCATCATCACAGGAGGTGAAAACAAGTGTTTCTGTAGATTATCCAAGGACGGAGAAGAAGACATGTTCAGCTCAGTCCGCACGCCGTCCCCACAACTGAACAGACGACAAGATGCTGTTAGCCAGTTTATACATTTTTCATTAACCTATGTATCATGTGTTCAAACTGCACCAAATTTGACCCTGTATTTCCCTGGGACCATAACAATAACAATGAAGTTGATTACTAAGAGTCATGTATAGTCAGACAGAGATTTATTAGATAGATTCACTGTGGACCAGGTTTATTGATGAGTACTTTTTAACTTTTTCATTGCAGTACTGACACACATTGAATATTAAAACATGACTTGTGTTTAAGTGCCAGCCACCAGTGTGATATATAATATAGTTATTGTTGTTGTGGCTCTGTAATAAAGTAGACCAACTCTTCCTCTGTGTTTCAGATGATGGTAAACTGTCATTTGATGAGTTCAATACTTACTTTGCTGACGGGATCCTGACCACTGAAGAGCTGCAGGAGCTTTTCTTCTCCATCGATGGCCGACAAAACAAGTGAGTTGTTTTTATATTAAACTACTTCACACAATTGTCCAACCTGTGCTTTTTATACTCACAGAACAAAGAGACCGAAGTGCAAGTGTTTGGGGCTAAAAGCCACAGTTGATGTGTTTCTTTCAAGTCATCAGCTACAGACTAAACGCCTCACAGTTGGACAGAGGTCTTCAGTGAGAGTGAGCCCTGCAACCAAACTCAAGCAGGCTGGATTAATGGTTTTGGTCATAAAGAACCGTGAATGTGGAGTAAAAAACTCGCTCTTCTAAAATTGCATTCAAAGAAATCAGCCTCAGGGTGGCTGAGGTGAAATCACTGGTCTGCAGAGAATGATTAACTCACCGCAGCCGCACAGTAAAAAGAAAACTTCTCCCATGTCCTGGTTTATAAAACGGTTTTATTGTTTTTCGAAAGCCAATTGTCTTTATTGTCTTTGGCAGATTTGCAACCTTTTTCCTCTGCACACTTCTTCACAGTAAACCAACACAGGGTGGCTGAGCAAGACTCTGTAACTTGGCTCTCAGACTGTGTGTATCAGCTCAGATAATATCATGAATTTACTGTGACTGGTGGACTATGAACCATAGCCTCACAAGAGTGGACCATCACAAACACACTGTGAGATGGACCTTACTTTTTAAATTGAATTTGATATTTTAAAGTTAAATCCAATTAGAGGGAGTTCAGTGTGTTGTTATCAGCCTGGACTGTCACTCGTGTGACACACCAGACCTCTCTGTCCACATCTCATGTCATATTTACTTTGGTCTGGTTACAGTCGGCATGGAGGGGCAGTGGTCAACACTGTTGCCTGCGTCCTGATGGATAAGTGGTATAAAAAATGTATTTTCTGAATAACAATACTGTTAATTGCACGATATCAGCTGGGAGAGAAAAGCATTTAAGACTAGAATGGTTCTTAGTAGATTGCATACAACTGCCAAGGTCCAACTGGACCCTTACGAAACTGCATTTGAATTCACTAAGTCCAGATTTCCATTTAGATCTTTATCAAATTGCACAGAATCATTCATATCAGTCCCCTAAACATTACAAACAACCTGTTTTTTTCATCAGGATCCATGAATTATTCTTCTATAAATCACGGGAAATGTTGAAAAGAAAATCTTGGATTCTTCTCCCTGATCTTGATCCGAAACAAAAATGTAACGGCTTCTTCTCTGACCCATACCGTATCAGTCCACCAAGTTCTGGCGGTTGTTTTTGCGGAATCTTGCTTAAAAAATAACAAACGGACAGGGTTGAAAACATAACCTCCATGTCAGAGGTAGCTACTCTCCAGTCACATGTTTTCTCTTTTACAGTGAAGGGAAAGGAATCATCTCTTTGGTTGTTGCTCTGCTAACCTGCAATAGAAATGTGTCACAGCAGCTAAATAAAAGACGTGCAGTTTGTTGTTGCCCACGTATTCTCTGTGAGCTTTGTACTAAACACAAGCCATTAACCAGCTTCACTTAGGATCTGTGCCCGACAGTCAACATTACCTGTTAATGTCATTAACACAACAGAGGAAGTGAAGTTCACACTGTATTACATCACTGTGATACTGAACACAATTGATTTGTATGGTTTTAACACAGGTATCCTATTTATTTTATGATACTTTAATACATTCGGGATGCAACAGCACAGTCTCTCAATAAAAAATTAAAAGCAGCACAATTGAATTTCTTTAATTAAGCTCATCAATATTTTTCTCATTTCTCTTGTTCTCTGCCCTGCAGTAATCTGGACACTGACAAGCTATCAGGTTGGTGGGAGAGTGTTTGGTCTGATTTAACGTTTCACAGCACATTTGTTTCTGTAAAAATATTCAGTGCATGTATGTTGACTCTTCTGTGTTCACTGATATGTTCTAAGTGGATACTGTTAAGGCAACAATTCACTATTCACAAAATGCACTTGTTTACTTTCTTGCTGAGCGTTAGATAAGGACATTTATGTCACTCGGGAATCTTTAAAAATTAAAGTTACAGCCAGTAGAGGGTTCTTAACTTAGATGGGAAACTCTTAGTCTTTGTTTTTAGAATTGATGAAACAAACGGAAAGATTTAGAGGTGATGGTAAAGGTGTTTCCCTTTGGTTACCTTTGTTACCTTTGCCAAGCAGTCCTCATTTTGGTGCTAAGCTAAGCCAACAGCTGCTGTAGAGACTTTAGATTTCCCAACTATTCTCTTATACGTGCAATATATATGCAGGGGTGGATCCAGGGGTTGGGCCAGGTGGGCACTAACCTCAGCTGAAATCTAATTTTGTCACTTTCAAACAATTAACATGACAATTATACAAAATACAAAAGTATTTTTATTTTTTGACGTAAACAATGTGCTTGAACAAGCAACAATTATATATATATATATATGTTTTGTGTGGCTTTACTCAAAGCTGAAGAGCTAACAGTTTATTAAAAAAAAACTTTTGGTGGCCTTCATGACCCGAGATTCAGAAAAACCCAAGATCCTGGATATATAAACCTGCACCGCCATCATCCACCTGCAACACTGATTCTGTAAATATGGAGAGAAAACTGGCACATGTCTAGTGACCCATATATTTTTTATCATCTTAAAAATGCGTGTGTGTGTGTGTGTGTGTGTGTGTGTGTGTGTGTGTGTGTGTGTGTGTGTGTGTGTGTGTGTGTGTGTGNGTGTGTGTGTGTGTGTGTGTGTGAGGTGACCTGAATAAAGTGAAGAGAAATAGGGCAGGGACCTGTAAATACCAGTCATATACCCAGAATAAAACCTCTGCATAATTCATTGAATTGGAGCGACATCGTTTCCATCGGACATCAAGAAAAGTTGACTCTGCCGTTGACACAACGTTCCGCTTCTTTCACATTTAGTTTTCAGTCGCTGCATCGTGTTCTGTTCACTGAGTGTTACAGTGACATGCTGTGAAAATTATTGTAAGTTAGAAGAAGTACAAGTTGTCGCTGATCCATAAGATATAATTTGATCACGTTGTTGCCTGTAAGTCATTTCATTAAGATTGAAATTCTCTGCATCACAGCCTGTTACAGTGAATTATTAAAGAATTTAACTAAATCGTTATTCATTTTTTCAAATTTTGTAAAAACTGCTTGACTGTAAAAGTTAGTGTTTAAATCCTACCAACTTGACTTGCTTAGGAAACTAACTGGGATATTTTTACCCATTTCTCAGATATTGCCTTTGCCATGGTCTTAATTGGAATCTGTCATGGCAACATATAAAAGTTTGTCTCCCTCTCTCAGGAGTCAGAATAAACTTTTAATTGTTATGACTTTGCAACGACACTGACGTCTTGTTTTCTTTATTTACTATTAGATTATTTCTCTCAGCACCTGGGGGAGTATCTCAACGTCCTCTCGGCTCTGGAGACTCTGAATGTTGCCATTTTAAAGGCGATGGATAAAACCAAAGAGGTAAGAGAAATTATAACAACATCAACTTTGGTCTACTTTTGTCATGAATCACTTGTTTTATGTAAATCTATGGCCTTATTTCAAAAACTCATGAAGACAAGTATTTCAAGTGCTCACTGCTTGTTGACTCATTTGTCTGTTCAGTAAATATTGTTTTGCACAAAGACCAGAACAGGTTGAAACTGCTCTTAATCAAAAGTTTCCAAAATCTATAAAGCTCTTGATCATATTTTGTCGATGCAGGCGAGCTGTTTCTCCATCTGCAGTGTTGATGCTAAGCTAACAAGTTGCTTTATCATACAGGTATGACAGTAGGGATTGCCCCAGTGGGGAAGTTTGCATGTCCCCCCCCTGTGTCTGCATGGGTTCTCTTTAGATACAGTCCAAAGACCTCCATCCATTCATCCTTCCTTGCATCCATCCATCCGCCCATACATTCATTTACTTCTTTTTTTTTTGATGGAGGTGTCTGGCTCAGCAGGATGTTCCAGACATTCCTCTCCTCAGCTTTCCAGCTCCTCCTGGAGGATGCTGAGGGGTTCCAAGGCCTGATGGGATATGAAGTCCCACCAGCGAGTTCTGAGTCTCTTCTAGTCGGGTCCGCCCAGTTAACCTCCTATAATGACCAAACCACCTCAACTGGCCCCTTTCAACTTGAATGAGCAGCAGTGCTACTCTTCCTCATGATGTTTGAATTCCTCACCCTAATTCTAAGGCGGAGCAGCCACTCGATGTACAAAACTCATTTCACTGCTTATATTCGTTGTCTCGCTTTTTCAGTCGCCCAGAGCTCCTGATCAAAGCTGAGGGTTGGAACGTAGATTGACCGTTAAATCCAAAGCTTTGTTTTGCAGCTCAGCTTCCTCTGAATCACAATAGTATGATACAACACCGGCATTACTGCTGATGACACGGCGCCCTGCCTGTCCACTACTCGACTGTCTTCCCCTCACTTGTGAACAAGACCCTGAGATGCTTAAACTCCTTCACCTGGGGCAGCAACCCCCTCCCCAACCTGGAGAGAACACCTTTTCCCAGCAGAAAGCATTGGCCCTTACTTGGATGTGCTGATTCTTCTCCCAACAGCTTCACACTCGGCTGCAAACCAGCCCAGCGTGCACTGGATGTCACGGTCTGACGAAGCCAACAGAGCCACATTGTCTGCAAAAAGCAGAAATGCAATTCTGAGGTTGAGCACAGTTGACAATTTAAAACTTTCAATCATGTATTTTGCAGGAAACAAAATCCTCAAAATGCCTCAGGACTTTTTGAGATAACAACGTTGAATTTAAATGGAAGAAAATTCAGCGGTGATAGTTTCTAATGAAAACAGGAGCGATGTGTCCTGAATAATTATGCATCGCTCCTAATTAGATCACCTTGCTCCTCGCTCTGTTCTGGCACTTGAAAGCTGTCAGAGCCTGGAAATCCACGGAGGCTTGTGCAGTTGCTAGTTAGCAGATGTGGTCTGTCACAGTGTGATTTGGACTGCTAATCCCATGATGCATTTTCAGCAGAGGTTACCCATCAGTGTAGATTTTGACAAACTGCAGTGTTTCTTCATCGGTGCATTGTGTGAATTCGACTCCTCTGAGATTGTGTCTGTGTTTGGGGACTCGAGCAGCAATTATGGCTCCTATTAAAGATCCTTCACCTTGGAATTTGGATATGCACTAATGAATTATGTACATGTATTCGTCCAGAGAATTAATTAGGTTGGTTTTATTCTGGCTGCCACATCACAAGGTACCTGGATCTTTGTTTTGGTTACATTATGGAATGATCTCTCCTTCTGTCTCTGTTTTATCTCTGACATGCTTTTACTTTGCTGTTGCTTCTATTTGAGCTTTGACCTCTGCCTTCTTTGTTTCTCTCTCTCCCTCTCCCTCAGGAGTACCAGGGCTCCAGTGTGTTGGGTCAGTTCGTCACCAGGTTCATGCTCAGAGAGACGTCCAGTCAGCTGCTGTCTCTACAGAGGTCACTGCAGTGTGCTATGGAGGCTGTGGAGGAACAGAGCAGCCCTGCACCGTCAGTACTGCAATATGACACCATGTGCCGACTGCTGGGCACTTTCTACACAACAACACACTATATTCTATTCTCGCTGCTCGGGCATGGCCCTGCAGGCTGACGGCTCTTTGTTGTAATCATTTCTCTGCACATATATGCGGCTCACACATGTACAGGTAGAGCTAAAGCATGAATGCATGTGATTATTCTTGCAGTGCTGTTAAGGTGCATTCACACGAAAAATGAAGCAAAACTTTTCATACAAAGTCAAATCAAAGACACAAATTTCACTGAGTGGAACATTTGCGTTACATCATGATGCGAAAGCCAATCAGTGTTGAGCATGAACTGGAATAGAGGCTATCCACCATTTTACTTACTCTCCTGCCTGAGGTTTATCGAGGCTTCCTGAGTTGTATGAGCACATTTTGCAGGTTTGAGCAACTGAACTGCTCCATGAGGCTTCCCATTGTTTTGCTCGAGGACTTGTTGCACTTCACATGTTGCACAGGCTGAAAATTGGAGGCAGAAACCAATTAACCTCAACGAGCAGTGTTTCATGAAATCAGCTTTTGGAAGAGCTCATGCTGACGTCTGCTGAGGACTGACTACTCGCTCATTTTAAAATGTCCCTTTTGGCCAAATTCATGGATAGCTTTGTCAGACCACTGTCAGCAAAGGTATTGAATATAGTGCACTACATATAATTCCACCAATAACAACAATCCATCAAGCATTTAATAAGTAGGAATCTATCTCTATCAACTTTCAAATAACCAGGCTACTCTCCACACTGTTCCTGGCTAAAGCCTGTTCATTGCCATGACTTGCAGCGGGATCGTCTGTTGCTCAGCAGCGCTCTTCTCTCTCTCCTCTGGGTGCCACACTGGCATTATTGAAAATAATGGAGCGATTATAGTCAAGGTGAATTATTAAGAGGGGAATGGGGGAGGAGGAGGAGGAGCAGAAGGGGCAAGGATGAGAAGAGTGTCACTGAAACAGAGAACGAGTGACTCACAGAGAGAAGGATGAATACAAAAAAAAGTACACAAATGACAGAATGGTGCAGGAAGTGAAGAGATGCTGGATTAAGGAGAGAATGGGCTTTTGAAGGGTCTAAATGAGGAGGTTTTTGGCTTCAAACAGGTGTAGAGTCTGGGAAGAGAAAGACGCAGAATGAAAGAGTTTGGATGGGCAGAATTAGATTCATTTTGAGTTGGCAAGAAACAGCTATTTCTCTCTACTGTGCTTCCCTGCAGTGGATTTATGGCTGTTGCAGTGGCCTTTGGGTTCCAGGCTGTTCTCAGCATGAGAACCTCCCAGCAATGCACTCCCTCTGTGCTGTCAGCATGAAGCTGCACACACACACACACACACGCATATACACAGGTATACACACGTAATAGCGTGCACACACAGAGACACAACAAAAGGAGGGAGAAGCGCTCACTAACAAGAACAAACAAATGTGCACAAGCCTTAAGAGACACACACACACACAAACACACACAGTGAGTGTGTCTCAAGTGTCACACAGAGCACTTGATGTCCTGCCTCTGAACAAACACTTTTCCATCTATGACAGAGCTGTGTGTGTGTGTGTGTGTGTGAGTGAATAGTTGATTGTGTAAGTAACCTGGGTTGATAATCACTGCTGTGTATCTGCCTCCTCCCTGTTTTCACCTCTATTCTGGACACTTGCTGTTTATCCCTGGTTCTTGTGTCTATGCACCATTGACTGTCTCTCTCTCTCTCTCTCTTGCATCAGATATTAATCTATCTCAGTTTCTAGAATCTTGAATCAAGTATTAATGAATCCTTCCTGATATCACTCCGACTTTCTCTCCATCTTCACCCTGCACCTTCCCTCCCATGTCCTCTCTCATCCGTCCTCGGTTTATTCCATACCCTCCTTCTTCATTCCCCCTGTGACTACCCCCATCTGCCATATCTTCAATTTCTGTTTGATTTCTTTTCCCCTCACGTCTCTGACAGTTGCTGTTTTTCTCTCCAATGTTTGTCTCCCTGGGTCTGCACCGCTGTCACGGCAGAAGAGAGGTAAAGGCACCAGACCTGACAGCAGTGCAGAGGAATGGCAGGCGATGTGGTCGGAGGGTCCATAATAATCTGTGCATGTCCCCATCAGATCCCTGCTCTGGCATCTTGACCACAGGTAAGACAAGTATCAAATTATATTCAAACCTTTTCAACGGACTGACCAACAAATCCATCTAGCAGTTATTCCTAGAACTTCATTATGTTGTATGGTAAAAGGGGGAAAAAAACAAAAACAAAGAACAGCCATAGGCAATATGAAGGAGAAAGTCTGCTACAGATCTGCACAGTTCGAGCAAATTATGGACAAGTTCTTGAAAGTGTTCCAAAACAACTATAAACGTTAAGCCAATTATAAACATACCTCTGGGCTGCTGTGGCTCAGGGGGTAAAGCGGGTTGTCCACTCACCACAAGGTCAGCCGTTTGATCCTTGGCTCCTACTTTCTGCATCCCGAAGAGTCCTTGGGCAAGACATGGAACCTTAGATCCCTTTGCGTGCCCCTGATGGCCGTTGAGAATGATGTGTGATAGAAAAGCGAGGCAGCTGTATGAACGGGTGAATGGGACTTGTAGAGTAAAACGCTTCGACTGTTATAAACCAGAATAACGTTGTTTTTCTGCAGTTGCCCTAAATCAAGTCAAAATACATCTGCATTTGATTTGAGAACCTCTGCAGTTCAAAGCAGGCGCACACCAGTTGGTGAAAAGGATTGTGGGACTATAGGTCTAATTCTTGAATTTGAAAATGTTCAAGTTTATTTTTATTATTGTTTTGATTCTCAGGCAGTCGGGGAACTTGTCATGTTTGTGTAGAGCAGCAGTTCTGGAGAAATCTTGTGGAAGCCATGAATGCTGCTGCTGCTGTGTCACTTTTACTTGATGGTGATTGATGTCACACAGTGAAATTATAAATCTGTATTAATCAATAAATGTCTGAAGTGTGTTTATGTGGCTGCATTCAGGGAGAAGGACTTTTAATTACATGCAGACTTGTGTCTATCATTTTTAATCAATATTACTGACATTATTATCATTAGATTAGTTTTACATTTTCACCAAAGGGACGAGATGTTCATCTAATCAGACATTTAGGGAATCATGTTCAGTGATGTGTATATTTACAGCAGACAGGAGAGTTCCCTGAGGGCTTTATACATCTACAAACATCTAATTGATATTTATTTTCCTCTTCACTTGTATTGATAGACTGAACATATTGATGATATTGAGTCCGTGATGAAGGAACGATCCTTGTGTCTCCAAAGACCTTAAAAGAAGTTGTTATTCTACTGTATGAAGAGTTTAATGTCCTTTTATGAACATGATAAACAATCATAACCTGGTTTTCATTACACAGTAACACAGTAAGAGCATAACTCTATATTTCCACATATAGAGCATCTTCCCTCTTGCATTGTTCACACAAATATATTTTGTTTACTCTTTCCACAAGGCAGCATTTTCACATGGTATAAAATCAATCTCTCTGTCTTCCTTGCCCTTGTCAGCTGATGGAATCTGTCTCTATGACTGAATGAGGTTTCCTGACATCGATCAGACTCTATATCATATATCATTACTTGGAAATGTATGTGTCTGTATGAAATCACGTCTACATCCACACAAATCAAGTTGGAATTAGTAAGTGGGTGACACATTTGTGTTTAGTCATCCCAGTGGTGTTGTGTTGTGTTTTCTCAGGTGTGAACATGGAAGATGGAGAGAACTGGTGCTCTCAAGTCAACAGGCTGCAGCAGCTTCTGGACAAACTGGACTGTCAGGTACTTTACTTTGTGTATTGTTGTGGTATAAGCAGATATATTTCTGCAAGAGACAATAACAAATTTCATTTTTATTATTCATGAAAATCAATGTGAGCGGAGCACTGGGTATCACGCATAGATGAACTGAATACAAAACCTTCCTTGAACACAAATACGTATTTAGCAGTCATCACATACAACATGTAGATTTCATTGCCCTGGTCTGGCGTCTCTCATGATCGTGTCTGGAACAGAGTGTCAGCTCAGTGCTTGACTGGTTTCTGTCATATTATGGAAAGGAACAGAACTACCCTGTATTTTCAGTGATGCTAAATGTCACTATTATTTCACATTTGTACTCAGCTTTGCACCAATGGAAATTTAGAAATCTGACACAAAGAGGGACTCTGCAGGTCACAGTCACCGCTGTGCCTCTCAGTCTGTTTCCTGTGATCCATTCTCACTGCCATGATCTCCACACCTCACTCACACTCACCTGCCACGTCCTCCGTCTCATTCTCGCCCCCTTTTCTTTTCTTTAATAACTTCTGTTTTTCCCGTGTTGTGAGGTTCCTTCCTCTCTCGCCTCTTTTCACTCTCCCTCAAAACATTTTTTCAAACCACTCAGAGTGGAATATCAAAGCAATTCGTAGCCTGCAGGATGTTTCGGAGTGCAATATCCATCCCCCCACCTCACGCACACACACACACACACACACACACACACACACACACACACACACCACATACCTGTCCATCTTGCTGCCTTCCTTTGTGCTGTCTCATTCAACAGAATTAGTTTTCATCCACAAAGGTTATGTCCACTGTACACACACACACACACACACACACACACACACACATACATTTGATCAAATACCCACTCTGTGTTATTACATTTTCTGTATTTCAATTTTCATAACATCATATCTTCATAGGTTACTTGCATCCTCAGGATACGGTTTCAGAAAAATAAATAGTGGATTATATGTTTTCTACTTGTCCTTCTTTAAAAGTACAGTTTGAATCTCTGCTGTGCTCTGTGACTAATTTCCTCTCGTCTTTCTGTTCGTCTGCTTTCAAACACAATAACCTTTTTGAATGAATGGATGTAACCTTTATTTCCTGGTAGGGAATTTAAATCAAGCTAAATCAAATATCATATACCAACAGACCAGGAGAAAAGAACAACACTATAATCCTCATTCCTGATCCAGTTTTTGTTTGTTTCACTAATTAAGTCCATTATGTAGAGGATTTCTGCCTGAATCCTCAGGTGCAGATAACTGTGCAAATGTGTTCGAGTCTTTAGCTCATTTAGTTTCTGTGTCGATTAGCTCCTTAACCAGACATTTTAATTTATAATGCAAATTAAATTCCTCCAACCTCGACTATACAGATTCACTTGATTCAACCATAGACTGCATATAAAGATAGACGACACGTCTGTACCCTATAAGTGAAGCCAAAAGCGTCTCGATCAACACCTGGTGGCTGGTTACAGTATAGGTCATAAAACGTGCCTCCTCTATGTTAGTGGATGGGACATGGGCCAAACAAAAAGTCAAAGTACATGTCAAATACATTTTTCTCAAAGATGGTTTCACATATGTTCAAGTGTGGATTTACCTGGTGAGTTTGGTTTTAAAAAGTTATTGACGCTTTTAAAACTGAGTGAAATGTCATGAACGACAGCTGAGACTGACTCGTGCACAGATGGCAGCACCTGTATCCCAGATGTTTCAACTTCATTTCTGAATAAGGGGAGGAATTTGATGATCCATGGTCCCAACACATGGATACAACCCAATGCTTTCCAATGGCTTTGTTGTCATATTAACATTTCCAAACAGGCATTAAAGGCTGTAGAATGGTTGAGAATAAAACCAAAAAGCACTGATCAGTGTCTCATATAGTAAAAGAAAAGTTTTGTCGTTGAGTTGTTTCTACCCATCCATTTTTACCTCCTTGAAACATGGACATTTTTATAACGCATCACCTGACTCCTTCCTTTGCTCCGTCATAATTCCTGCCGCTGCTGCTGTGAATTGTCTGACAATAAATAACTGTTGGTTGTTTTAAGCTGCCTGAGGAGGAAAGTCATGTAAAACACAACAGTCACAACATTAAATCTGGCGGCTGTTTTTTTTTTTTATTGTTGTAGCAGATAATGTTAATCTGTGTCCTCTGTTGTAAGAGCTCCTTCTGAACAATCAGTAAAACGTCCACTTTTATAGTTTAAAGATAAAAAATAAACAGATCTACCACAACATTAAAACTTGCAACTGGTTTAAAGGTTCAGTGTATAAGATTTCTATTAGCAGAAATCATCTAAATAATACAAATTGCTGTTTTTCTTCACCCCAGAATGTTCCCTTTATATTTAACTACTTTATATTAACAGGGAATGGGTCTGCTCCACTGAGGCCACCATGTTTTTTACAGTAGCCTATAGGTTTTTAGTTTTTTTAGGGAAGGGTGAGGGGTATTCATCTGCAAAATGAAACTTCCCCACTAGATGTCACTAAATTCTACACACTGAACCTTTAAATCACTGCATGTATCTGCAAACTTCAGTTTCAATGTTTGTTACCTTTTTTCTTCTAGAGTCCCAAGTTGGAGCCACTGAAAGAGGACACGCTGGCCAGCACATACAAGTCTGTAAGTCACCACTGAGCAGGAATCGCCTGCTTTATCACCTGATGAATGATTTATGATTGATTAGAGTTAAAACATTTTACCACACACACTCAAACGAACACACACACACACACACACACACACAAATGTACCGAATAGAAACCTGTTCTTCCTCTGGACAGGCTATCGTCTCTTCTCACCCTCCTCTCTCTCTCTCTCTCTTCTCCTGTCTTGCTGCCGACAGAACATCCTTCTGGTTCACAGGCAAATGTCTGTGACTGACGGAGATCAGGACAACTTCCAGAAAGTTGTGAAAAGCTACATGGATGCAACCTCAGCTCACTCTGACAACCTGCAGTGAGTGTCTTGATTTGCTTTCAGGCAGAGAGGCTGTATAACTTTGGCTCCGCTGCTGAGAAAACTTCATCAGCACTGAAGGGTTTGAATTGTCAGACTCGATGTAAAACAAAAATACATTTAATGAGGAGTTCCCCTCCTCATTTGTCATCAATCGTCCTGTGACTGGAGGCCGATTGGCTGTTGATGAAGTTAGAACAGTAATGTCAGTTTACAACTTTTTTTAAAATGACTCGTTGCTTCATTTCAATGCTCTGTTTCTGTCACTCGTAGTTCTAAAACACATCTGTTTATCTCTTTAAAGAGTCAAACCTGTTTCATTTCTCTTCGCTGAGATCAAACTCTCTCACTCTCTCTCTTGCTCTTGCTCTTCTTGACCCACTCTACTTTCCGTCTCCGTCCTGCTGTCAGTGTGTCCGTTCAGAAGCTCCCGGGAAAGACATGTTACATAATGTATGAGTTCTGGCAAGACCGCATCTCCTGGATGAGGTCAGTATGGTGCCTGTGTGTGTGTGTGTGTGTGTGTGTGTGT